GTAATATAGGTTATGGTCTAAGCCAATAGTTTCAGCCTTAAGAGTGCAGTTGATAGGTATCTCGTGTGAGCAGCTATGCTTATGAAATCAATGTAGACATTTAATGGTGGTATATCACATAAAACACTCCAATACTTGTGTGTTTCAACTACAAGTAACTGTGATGCCGTCCCACAGGAAACAAGCCCTAATTTGTGGCTCGCGTCACTCCACACGGCACACATCCACCCGTTAGTTGATTGCGCAAATCGTTTGTAGTGCGACTCGTCTATTAGTCGTCGTCCTAAATGCTTGTCACGTCTCTTTATGACCCAGTTCAGCCGTTTAGCGGCGGTTTTCTGCCAACTAGTTGAGCGTCAGTCAGAGCAGTTCACAGGAATTCAGCTCGTCTGTAGTCGGGTCACGAGTGGCGGCCTCGGGTCGGTGTCCCGGGCCGCTGAAAGGACCATGAATAGAGCGCGTCAGCCGGGCCCCGGGGACGGCAGATTGCCGCCATCTGTTCCCCGTCCTGAATTTCATTTCGGCGGCAAATTACGCAGACGTTTTCACCGGAGATTGCGGATGGCGCGTGTTCGGTGTCGATGTTAGGGTGCCTTAGCATCGCGACGCCTTGTGGTGATTCTTTGTCTGAGGCATAATGTAACTCTATCACGTTTTATTCAACAATTGCACCTGCCAATCTTCTTTACGTTGCAATTATGCGAGGTCAATTACTGATTTGGTTCTCGAGTCTATGTTTGGCGCTGCTGAGTCGAAAATTGGAGATAGTTATCTTTTGCTACGCCCATTGTGAGAGCAGATACCAATATATGATAAAGCATGGCGTGCTACAGATTTGGCGACTTCGAGTGCAGTTGTAACCGACTGATATTGATGCATAAGAGGCCTGCCGACTATTCAAAAATGTATTATCAAAACGTATTCACCTTTTCATTTGTAATACATTACCTAATGCGAGGTAGTTCTGAATGATGCATCAGGAAGTGCATAGCGGAGCTCTTTTCCTCCTTCCCACCTCACTGAAAAAAGATGAATATTTAAGACTCCACGCAATCGTGATCCTCTCGTAGCGACGAACAACGACCGCGTTTCTCTGAGAGTACACACGCGGAGAGCGTGCATGCCGGCCGACTGTAAGGTCCACCACTCCGGTCTCCACTCCAGCTGCTGAGGGCTGCTGAATTTTCATGCACGGCTACATGCAAATTTCATGGCAGCAGGATTATTCATGGACCCATAGCCGCAGGGTTTGAGGATGATTCGTACCGTAGAAAATATTGACACTATGTGTGGATTTTTTTTGCCGCGAAGGACAGGTGTCAGGTACAGCCTTTGAAAATGGCATGTTACAAACTATTGTATTTGTTTTGTAGCGGTAAGTGAACTGGATTGTGTTTCACCATGCATGCTTATTTGCCTATTTCATTGCACATGCGCCTCCACAATGCAAGTGTGGGGCAGGATACTGACAAAAGGTAAAGCAAGGGAGATCATTGAACTCTCGACAAAGCTGGTCTCTGATTGCTTCTTCCAATATATCGCACCGTTGAAAGGCGGTTCATCATTTAGCCGGGCTCTTTCGGTTGGTCCGATTCATTTGTCAGTGGCCGACTACTGAACACGTTCGCTCCTTGAGCACCGTCCGGCAGCGAAGCACATACGTCATCGGCGATTTGATGCTCCTCGGAGAGTGTCTGCGTTTCAACAGGCGGGTCCTTCATCCAGAGATAAGTGGTTCCTGACGGGCCAGATCACCTATTATGACAGGGATGATTTGCGCACACCGCAGGGCCACTTTTTAAAAAACGAGACTAAAATATTATGGCCATTAACAACTAAGCGATGCAGTATATTTGCACAGTAGTTAGGGTAGATATTAATGAATTTGTGGCGTATATCCTACCTTGATGTGTGCCCCTCTTCATGGTAATGTGGTAATGGTATCGTCATTTCTAAAGTATCCGATAGTTTCTTTGATGTAAACCTTCTCATCGAAGAATCTTAGGGGATGCTATAGCTGTATTATGATGCATTAGAGCAGAGGCAAAGTACTTTTGACGCGGTTCATGAAGGATATCTTACAAAATACGAGTAGCTCAACTAATATTATTCTGTCACCTCTAACGTGTATGCATGGATGAACATTGAATTTTGCCTTATATTGCCCTGCGCGTACGCAGGGAATTCTCTGGTTATTCCACAATCCACATGCCCAAAACATTATCGATGTCGTAACATTGTTTAAATGTGTAGGCTTTTATTCTTGGTAGTTACTAGTCATCCATCCTATGTGCTCCTTTTCAGCATAGATTTCGTAAGAACTGACGTTCAATGCTTACGATAATTTTATCTCACCCATCTAACTCTCAGAATATTATCCAATACGTCAGCATCTGTAAAAAGCTCCATCGCCCTGCGATTAATTTCTGCCTTTTTGGATATCTACCATGAATACTACATCATTTCCATGAGTCTTTCCTCTGCTCGGTAAATGTTCTTCTCTTGTGTGTCGGCATCGTTTGCTCTCCATTCCCACACGCATCCATTTATCCTTTGTTGTTGCGCTTTCGTTCATTATGTACTACAAGCGTTATGAGCTATTATTTCCGGGCACCCATGCAAGAAACATTATCCTAACGAGTTTCTGTTGCTCTAACTGCGTGTTTGGCCATATTGTTTGTACTTATTCTTGCTATATTCGCTTACGCATTCTGATGTTTGCATAACTACATGTAGGTAAGCATCCACTGGGCAAATTATATCCATGTATCAATATTAGCGTGTTTACGGTAGTGTTTCATTGCACCACCACGGATACATATTCGTTCGCAGTTGTTTATAACACAGACCCTTGCAATGCCCACACGATGTCCGCTCAATATCGTCAAGTCATCATTAAATTCCGGTCGCCCGTTTCATCCATCCATTCAGCTCATTCGTTTCAAGCGTGGCCACAATTTATTCGTCGGCACATCCATCTATCTCGGTTTGGCTGTCCGGTCTGCCGGGTCGAGTCGGCCCACCGGACTTCACATCCGGTTCAGCTGATACGCCCGACCATGCAATTTCTTTCGCTCATCAGTAATACTTTTCATGTGTAGAAAGGATCCCAGGTAGGGGATCAAATGTTTATTTGTATACGACTATGGCATTAATGCCAATTAAGGTGCAGGGAGACACATGTATCTCCAGAACCTGTTTCACACCAGTCTCAATTTCATACAAAGGGTAGGTATAGCTACATATCTACATATCAGCGGAACCTCTAATAGGCGTTATGATTGCGACACTTATTACGATGTTTGCAACCTACTTCAATTTATCTTAGAGCTGTAATAGCAAACCTGAAATCGCAACACTAAGATGGTTACTTTCAAAACGATAGGATACTGTCATGAGAAGTAAAATAACTTTTGGGGATGATGGAAAAATAGATATTTCCACTACGTTATTTTATAGCATATATTTCATATATAAATTCGTCAAATTTTTCTCGAATCTCTCCTGTCCAGTGACTAACGCATAACGCATTCACGCTTCACGTTGTTCAAGCTGTTCTGCATATTTTCGCCGTATTTCTGTTTGTTTCGACCTCCTATCCCCCTCAACGTGAGCTCCCCGGTGCCGGCCGGGCAGGACCGTCCGTCAATCTGTTCTCTCCGCTCCCGCCGTATGTCCAGCGCTATGCGGTCTGTCGCCGCGGCCGCGGACGGACCACATCTCCCGCGGGACCACATTCAATTAGTGACGGACGCGATAGCCGAGGCTGAGGCGCGCCCGGCACCCCACCGCCCGCCCGCCTCCGGGCCGGCAGATTGTTTATGCATGAGCGGCTCGAGTCCGGTCGACAGACGGCTCTAGGAGCGCGGCTCGCCGGAGCAGGCGTCTGCGCGGCTCGCCGGAGCAGGCGTCTGCTCCGGACCGGATGGATGGATAGGACATTCGTCCGGGCCCGCGCGACCGCCGCCGGCGCCGGGCTGTGCCACGCTGGCCGGGAACGGGGACGCAGACGGCGAGATGTGTTTTCCGGAGGGCGATACGAGTGGAGCGGTGTGGACTCGTTCGAGAGGCGCCGGCGGACACGAGAGGTGTCTCGAGCGAGATGTCTTACCACTTGTTCGCTCGTCTGAGGGTGCTGAGGGTACTTCGTGAGGTGGAAAAAGTGGCGCGTGGGCTGTGTGGGGTGTGGTGCTTGCATATGATCCGAAAACGGAGAATCAGACGAGGGAAAACGATGTGCTTGGCGTGGCTTATAATTTATCTACGAAATAATAGGAAACACTCAATCTCATTGCATTATGCAATGTTGCGCAAGGTCCAGGCTATTGCCCAAGGTTACTAGGGAACTCACTGAGTGATCAATCAGTGAGAGTGTTGGAACGGGAAATCTCCAGGGAACTATAGCTCTCTCTCTGTGACCATTGCTCCCTTCAGAGACGTACGGTGACATCGGTAACCCTCGGCACACTGCAGAGTCAGACACCGTTCCGTGCTTCTATCCTCAGGATACTGAAATCCTTCTCCTCCACGCCGCAACCCCCCTCCGGGCTGGACAGGCAACTTTATCTCATGCGGGCTGCTCCCTTGGAGCGGCACCGCTGCTCCTGAGGGAGCGCACCCCGTAGCCGGGTGCAGTGAGTGCCTTGGGGCTGGGTGGCCTGTCCTCTGGACGGGCTCAGCCCCGGCGACTCACTAGGGTGCCTGCCCAGACCAATGTCTCCCCCTATATCCTATCATCCTCCCGGCTCTGAAATGGTCACAATTGACCGAAAGGGCCTAACCCAACAAAACAAACAAAGAGTCAGTCGGTTCGGGATATCGATCACCTGCACTGGCCGAGCCATTTATTATGTCGTGAAGTCAGAGAAAACTATAGCGACCGTCATTGTTTTCGGATGGGGTCATCGCTTATGTGTTTATGAATTAAACCCAGCGTTGAATAGATGTGCCCCAGAGCTGTCAGAACGAGACAATACTTATCCGCGTCTCCTTTATCGCAGGGTCGATTCAGGGGAAGAACGAGCGACAGATCCTGGATAAGGTGATGAAGGACTACAACACCTTGGAGCGTCCGGTGGCCAACGAGTCGCACCCCATTGTCGTCAAGTTCGGCCTCACGCTCCAGCAGATCTTGGATGTGGTACGGTGCACACGTGGTCCTGGATGTTGGCAGCAGTGGTCAAGTAGTTAAACGTTGTTATGGGGGTTTGGTGTGGTGGGAAGTAGAAGAATCAGGTGGTTTGTTGCGTTACGCTGGAAAGAGTTGTCTCGTGGTCAGTCGGTAACATTACATGATGCGGGTCCCTTTCTTTGATTAGCGTTATTCGAGTAGTGCCGTGGCATACAAGTGGGTTGGCTCGCTTGTGGTGGGAATTGGTTTTCTTTGTGGTGAGAGGCTTGCGGGTCTTATCCAGGCCCAGTCGCTCAGCAGCTTCGAAATTGCTGGGCGGTGCAGGGGAACTATGGACGAATGTCTGTCTCCCAGACTGTGTCTCGGTGCCTTTCGCCTTTGTAGGGTCAGGTGTGGTCCCTGATGTTTCCCGACATGGCCGTTCTACGCGTCCGTAATGGTGAGATTTCACTCAGTGTGACTGCAGCCTTGTGCTGTGTCTCACACTTACAACTGTCTGGGGCAGTCCTTTGTTCCCACAGCGACCGTAAGCTCGATGTCTCCCTGTGCCCCTCTCAGTGCAGTGCATCTCCCATTCGACCACCCTCGTACGTAGTGTCTCCCGTGTGGCATTCTGTACTCTGCCGTATTATCGCCTTCTCCCATGGTGTCTCCTGTGTGACATTGTCCGCCTAGTTACCTTAGGCGGGGTAGTCATTGCCTCCCCTGTGACATTCTCTTTCTTGGTGACGCCCCATCTCAGTGTCTCCAGTGTGACATTCCCGTGCAGACCTCTCCCCCATCCGGGTCTCCCCGGCGCGGCGGCCGAGGGAACGGTGCGCGCCGTGGCGTACGTCGAGGACCGCTGCCTCATTAGACCGCGCTCACAGCCGGTCGATGGAGGCGGGATGCCCGGTACGCCGTTATTGCTCCAGGGCCGGCAATAAACACACGCGCTCGATACGGTCTGGGTGACGGTCCGGTCACACTGCCAGACCTGACCTGACCGGACCAGGCCTGTCTGATGGGTGGCTGCCAGGAGGAAGGGCAGAGAGACAGGTGTTGAAATCACTGGCTCACGTGGCGATGATGAGCCGTTTGGGGTCCAGAAAAATACCGCCCAAGAATTGGGCACCATGACACGGCTATAAGCGGTTTGATACCGAATGGATCGGAAGTCTCGACACGATTAGTGCGCACTCAATGACCCTATCTATGTGACCTCTGGTGTATCGAAAAATTCCAAGATCAGGCTCACTAGCTCAGCCATGCCCGAAAGGAATCTTACGCAACAAACAATGGCCATGGACCAGAAATAAACCAGTCTCTGTTCATTGTAATTTGACTGGCATTGAAACTCAGGTTCGAGATTCAATCTTGTAACGTAGTGACTAGATTTCGGTAAGCTTTTATTCCTCTATCCCCATTGTCCGAGAGTATTTCTGGCCGGCACTGCCCTCTTCCCAGCCGCTCCGGCCAAGACGCTGCCAAAACTCGTCTGTCCACTGGGCGTGAAGGCGATAACCGGGCACAGCGCCGGTCGGCCGTTTCTCAGCCGGTGCTAACCGTGTCGGCGGCGAACGGTTATCGGATTTTGTCGCGGCGCTACCCCGTGAGTGGTCGGTAACCCGGCTCACAACTGGATTATAGGCGCTGTTAACCGCGCTGCCGACCGGCCGGCCGCCGCACTGGACGACGGGGCCGGCGGCGGGTCAGGACAGTGCCAGGAGCGCACTGGGGCGGCACAGGCCCGGCCCGCGGGGTGATCGGGGCCAAGAGCCGGTCCCCGGGTTACGATGGGAAGGAGAGGAAGGCAGAGGGAGAGGAGGGGAGTGAGAGATGAGTGATGACACGGCTGGAGATTGCCTGGAGGAGGGGTCCAGAGCAGGGGGTCGGTGGTGGATCGAGGCGGTGGTGGACAGCTCTTTGTGCTAAGTGCTCAGTCTGGGTGTTCCATGGGTGTTGCGAGCTTTGTTCTGTGTCGCCATCAGTGCTTCTTCTGATTGTTCCGTAGTTGTTGTGTGTTAGTTGTGGTGGCTGTGAACTGTGGAGCGATATGTGTTCAAGTGCATTGACAGGATCTGGTAGGGGCTTGGTCGGTTATGAGTCCAAAGTGGATTTTGGTAAGTTATAAGTAATGCCATGCAATGGCTTCTAAAATTGTTGGTGGTGAGGTTAATGTGCAGCGTGATTGTTTTGTGGCAGTAATTGACGCTTATACACCATTACGATGGTGTAGATATAGTTTGTTTATTGAATCCAGTTTTATAAGCTGTTCACTCTTCCTTTCACTTGATGAAACGATAGTCTGTCTAAGTTCAATGCTCTTTTTCGTGGGTGAAGGTATAACCCGCTTCTCTTTTTCATAGGACGAAAAGAATCAGATTCTTACGTCAAATAATTGGTTAAACTTGGTAAGTGTGTGTAACTGTCACGCCCGGCGAGCTTGTCCGTGTCACAATGCATGAGCGCGGGCTGAGTGTTGGGCCGACACGAGGCACGGGTCACGCCATTCGTCAGAGCGCAGCGACACCAGCTGCAATAGAACTCACATGCTCCGCCGACAGGCAATTCGAGCTATTCGTCTGCCACCGGAATGAAATGACTCCGTGCCTTGTGGAGGGGTTCGCAGAAAGGGCGGCTGGCGGCCGGGGCTGGCGGGTGACGCCGCTGCGAGCTCCCCGAGCTGAGCTGGACATGGTCAGACAGCTCGGGATTGTCGACTCGGCGCCACTCGCCGGTCCCGCCGGTCGCAGTTGCCTGAGCTTCTGCAGCGCCACATGCTAGAGCTGGGACGGACGGTCGGTGCAGACAGGCGCACAGTGGGGGCACACTCTTATCTTAGCGAGAAGTAATGCAGGTTGTATCATTGTGAAAGTGCACGACATTTTGACGAAAGGCGTCGTGTTTGATGGTCTCTTGGGGGCGTTGTAACGCTAACGCGGAAGCGAGGAAGATATCTCAAATCGAACTGCCAGATTAAAGCCATAAAATAGCCGCTGTCATCAGCTAGGCAGCTAGGCTGCGTTGAGTGGCCATTCGGGACGGCATGCACCAAATCGGCGCCCGATAACAGGACATTCGCCGGGGCGGCAGCGGCGATTTAAGGAGATATAAAGCCTCTTAGTGCCACTCGCAGGGCGTATTTGACAAACGGCGTGGGATTGAGGCCGCCACTGGTGTCTTCCAGCTGACTTGAGACGCGCTCACTTCTCCCTCTGTCTGGCACCAGTCTATCGCAGAAAAACAGAGCTCAATCCCGGACCAACAATATCAACCTCGGACACAAAACGGTTGACAAAAACACTTCTGTTGTCATTGGGTGCCGTTTCAAAATCAGTGTATTTTTCGATTTGGCTCATGATGCACATTGCAGAGCACCACGCTCATTACAAAAAGTGACGTTTTGCTAGCTTCAAATTTATCCATTGATCGGGTTTTGATGATCAGTGTCCACTGTCCATATCAGGGGTGGCTGAACGCTGTTCGCCTGTGGTTGCACACTCGTCCGTCCCGGTTTCGTTGCCATGTTGCGCGCACAGCAGCTCACAGTGTTAACACACGTTTTCTGTTCAAGGATGAAAAGAACCAGCTTCTAATAAGTAACACTTGGTTAAATCTGGTAAGTTAAATAATGGTTTTAACCATAATCGGAAATGCGATTAAAGGTATACGGAGAAAATTACAAGGCACAACGCTTTTCGTTCTAGAAATTGTTGTATTATTTTACACGAGTCAAAGTTATTTCGATTTGATACTCGATTAAGTAGGTAGTAAGAGGTGTCTTTATTTTCTTCAGACCTTTTATCGCTGCTCCAATAAAATGAAGCCAGCTGATCGCGCTGCTAAACACAATGCTGAATTAACCATGTCTCATTTATAAAAAAACGTCTTGTGAGCATGGGAGCAAGTACATTTTCATAACACCACGCAAAACGTTAAGTTGTTTAAATGCTTCAAAGACGTATGTACAGTCATAGGTACAGGATACACTCTATCACTAAATGGTTCGAATATCGGGAAAATGGGCGTGGATCATTTTTGGAGTCGTGCGATCTCTATGCAGAACATTGCGGTTTTACTTGTTCAAGCACAGATATTTCCATCTAAGCTCGAACACTAATGTAATGCCCACGGTCTCGGTTACGGCTCTGTTCCTGTTGTCTGTCTCTGATCTGACCCGTGTCGGATGCATGCCTGGGTTGGCCGCGGTATTATACGCTGATGGGACGCGTCTCTAACCAGGCATGACCGCCAAGCCGGGAATGGTGCGACGCTCCCACAGGGGCGCACAGTGGGCAGCAGGGAGACGGCCAATAAAGCACGAGCGGCTCTCTGGCTCTGTCAGCAGGTAGGAACTAGAGGAGGGGAAGGAAAGAGGGGGGAAGAGGAGAGGAGATTGAGGAGATTCGGCCCGAGCCGGCAGAGAGTGGGGAGGATTGTGTGTAAGACCCGGAGTTCTCTTTTGTCAGCTATTATCTGACGCCCTCTTTTTCAGCGTGAACTGCTAACACCCGCATAATTTCCCAATTATTTTGCTACCCCATCCCTCCCTTTGTCTATATCTCCGCGTAACCACCACTGGGGACACTGGGGACTGGTCCCCAGTGACTTTTGGGTTACTGGGGACCGTCCCCAGTAACACTGACGACCTCCTCAATTTGCTTAACCCTATTAGTGGCAGGCTCCTGGCTACCCCCTATTAGTGGCAGGGGGGGGGGGGCTGTTTACGACCCCCCCTTGATATCTCGAGATCTAACGGGCCGATTTTCAAAATTCAAACGGCATTCGATTTCGCTCAACGTGATCTACATTTCTAAAAAATAAAAATTAAAAAATGTCAATAGGGGGGGTAGAGGGGGGTAAAAACGGGCAAATTGCAGATACATTTTAGACTGTTTATCACGGCCAGGTTTCTGAACCAATCTTAACGCAACTTTTGCCGATCGATAGAGAATGAACCAGGAATTCACATGGATCCTAAAAATATGCATTTTCAAAAATCATAGGCGGATACAGATCATTGAGATTGGGGGTGCACAAAAAGTATAGTAAAAAAGGTTTTTGTTGGTACTGTTTCTAAAAAGGGTGGTAATGGTCTTGTTATGTTACAATTTTCTTATGAGAGAACGACTACAATTGTATTGGTCATGCATAGGCGGTGTCAGGGCACCTATGTTGGGAGGTAAAACATAACTCCCCTTTTTGGACGCCTGGATCCGCCTATTATAGCAAAAACGTGTCAAAAGAGGATGCACAATAACTGTATATGTTATCACATGATACCTTTCATTCACTGTTCGTAAAACTGGTGCAGCATCGTGATCTTCGCCCAAATGACTCGCTTCACGAATAGGACCCCCCCAATTCCCAGTGCTCTGGAGCCGCCCCTGGTAAAGTTATGAACTTGAAATTTTCAGGGAATGTGCCCAATTTAGTTTTAGGAAAAGTCAGAAAATTTCAGCATCGTAGCTTCAGCGGTTTCGGAGATATTCCCGAAAAACCTGAGGGGTGGATAAAAACAACCCCCCCTGCCACTAATAGGGTTAAATAGCCAAATATTGTCTCTAAATCGACGTGAAAAGTAATATGTAGTCAACGGAAGACAAATCTATGGATGTTTTGTTTAGCCATGGATTACCTTCTACCTCATCCTTACTACTTCATCCATGGTTTAGCCCTCGCCCGGGTAGGCCTTTCAGCCAACTTCGCCAGGGGGGGGGGGCTTTTTGGCCACTCTGCAGGTTATCTCGGAAAGTAAGCAAGTTAGAAAGACGCAGTAAAAAGCAACAGATAGCTCGCTACAGTATGTTTCAGAATTACACTTATTTTTGATCAGGTCATCGCTGAGGTCACTGGAGGTCACCAAAGGTAAAATTTTCACGAACTTTTGTTCCCAATTTTGACAACCTTTTCACAAATTGGCGCATAAGTCGGGAACCAATAGAGCTTCAATGCGGCGGGGAAGCGCATTCGATAGCTCTTTCAAAGGCCTTTCTGATCGATCCCCTCAGATTTGACCTAAGGACTAAGGTCAACGGTTTAGCCTCCAGGTTGGCGTTTTTGCGGAATAGGTTTTTGTATCATGCCTTTTGACTCCAAACTTGTATGACGCTGATTTTACGGCATCGCGTTTGTCTCGTCGAGACGCGTCGAATAAATTATAAGTCTGGAAAAAAATTGACCTCAGTCCTCAGGTCAAGGTCACGGAAAAGGTCATGTTGCATGTCATTCGGTTGGTATTAGCCGTTTTCACTACGGGCTATCCGGCGAATGCACCTGATTTGACCAAATCTGCACCTAATTTCTTTTACAGCAAATATCTTCATTTTATGAATTCATTTCAGTGTTTTAATCGATGATGCTCTCTGATAATATGACAAAGCAGGCATATAAGCAATTAGTGCAACCCTAGCTGATAGCTGCTAAGAGACACACTGAACCTGATTTGACCAAATCTGCACCTAATCTGTACCAGATGTGCACCAAATGTCTACCAGATGGCCGTCGTGAAAACGGCTATTGTTGAGCTGAACACATTCATGGTGTTTTCAGCGCTCTAGCCTCTAGCATGTTTCTACCTAAAGTTATGGTAAAAACTCATGGAGATGTTACATGACCTGAGATGACCTCAGGGGCATGCAAGGGGTTACAGTTACAATTTACCGGTTCAGTGTATCATTTTTACCTGTGTCACGGTGTTTGAATGTGTTTTCGGCCAAAAGAAGATCATTTCAATTTTCTCCCATTGACTTACCTATGGCAGAAAATTGGAAATTTGGAAAATGGAGAGTTCGCAAAATTGACCTGACATTAGGTCACCGATGTGAAGACTTTAGAGATATGCGAATTGTTCATACTGATTTCCTCATGCAAAAGCTCGAGTTTCAAACTTTTGAGATTTAACCCGCGCCCTGCTGGGGGGGGGGGGGTGTTTGAACACCCCCCTTGTGGTTTTTCGCGAATATCTCAAAAACGGCGGCGCGGAGCGCCGCCGTTTTTGGTACACCTTATTATACATCAATTCTACACATGTTGTGAAAATTTCAGACCAAGGTCATTCAAGGTCAGGTCACCAGGTCACTTGAAGTGACCTCACCTCATAAAAAGTTTCAATGTCTGTCATAGCTACACCGAGTGACCGATCGCTTTGAAACTTTCAGCGATTGCTAAGAGCAATAGCATGTACAAAATGTATATCTCAGAATTTTGATATCGATGACCTAAGGTCAGGTCAATTTTGCGACCTCCCCATTATAAGTCAATGGGAGAAAATTGAAATGCGCCTCTTTTGGACGAAAGACATTATAAACACTCCCAAACACCGAATTACAAGTGGTTCAAACACACAGAACATGAAAATGGTGTCCGTGATCCTTGTTTATGCCCTGAGGTAATATTAGGTCACGAATGGTATCTAACAGTTTTTCGCAAATAACTTTTGATAGAGGCATGCTAGAGCGATGAAAACGCCTTAGATGTGTTCAGCTCGACGATACGGATCGACTGATATGCAACATGACCCTTTCCGGTCAGGTCATGACCTTGACCTGAGGTCAAATTTTCAAGTTGACCTTTCAAGGTCAAGTTATAGTTCATTCGATGCGTCTTGACGAGAGGAACACGATGCCGGTAAAAGTAAGCTCGTACAAGGCTTGGGTCAAAAGTTATTGCAGAAAAACTATTTCCGAAAAAATCGGCTATTTTTGCAGTTTTTGCCCCCTGCAGGCAAAACCGTTGACGTTAGGTCAAATCTGAGAGAATTACTCAGAAAGGGCGTTAATAGGGCTATCGAATGCGCTTTTCCGCGGCGCTGTAGCTCTATTGGTTCCCGAGTTATGCGTTGGCTTCTTGGAAATTTTCGACATTCGACCTGGAAATCGGCGAAATTTTGCCTTCTATGACCTCTGGTGACCTGACCTTTGACCTGACCAAAAAATTGACCGAAGTGATTTCGTCATTATTTTTGACGTTCTTTCGAACGCTGCCTTCCGCGTATCGCTACGTGGCCCAGGAGCCGAGTTACAAGGGGGGGTGTTCAAACACCCCCCCCCCCCCAGCAGGGCGTGGAAATCCAGGACCCCCAGCCGGGCGCGGGTTAACTGGGAATGACAGTCGTCAGTCACATAGTTTTTTTAGAGGCATGGTTACTTTACTTGACCTGGTGACCTGACCTCAGGTGACCTGGGGTCAAAATCTTCACACGTGATGCGAAATTGACGCATCATAACCTATTCCAAGTTTTGCAGCGGTGCGCGCGGCGGTTTTCCTCACACGTGCAAAAAAACTGGCAGGTGTGGCCAAAAACGCCCCCCTCCCCCCCACTCGGGCGAAGGCTGTTCCTGAAATATAATATTTGGTCTTCGCGGCCCTCCATGTGGTCCCCAGTGACTTCGGACTCGTGGTTACGCGCGACTCCACCCATCCCGGGACCATCACCAGCTTATTTCTTTCCCTTCGTCACCCTCTGATAGTCCCATCCCAGCCCCACCCATGGTTCGCGATCGGCGGTTAGGTCTGACCCGCAGCGACGGACACGCTGCCCGCCTCCGCGGCGCGCCGGGCGGCCACAATGGTCGTTTTATGACCACCCCCGATGGAGAGAAATGGTCCGAGTTGCGC